GTGCCGGCCTGTGATTGGCTCATGTATTTAAGTGACTCGAACAACACAGAATTCATATAACACGGAACGTATATACCATGTTAAGGGGGGTCTACTGTGCTCAAAGGAAGGTTAACTAAAAAATTAAAAATATTTCAATAATTAATAAGTAACTTTAGTTAACATGTGCTCAACTGTGTTAGGATAATCCAATAAACCATGTTTGCCATCATAAATGTTTTTAAAAACAATATTTTGAAATTTGAATATTGTGAATAAATTTTAATTTTTTTTTGTCAATGGAGAGTGCTTAAGTCCCTGCAATTTTCCCCTTGTTTCCACTATCATCTACGGACTATCATCTGTCACTGTGAGTAGAAAATACTTATGTAAGTATTAACCTGGTAGCTTTGTCTTTGTTTCTCCTTTATTATGTAACCTAAGTTTTTACAATTGTCTTTGCTTTGTTATCTCTGTGGATCATTTCTATTTTATCACATTAAAAAAACTTATCCAGAAACAAATATGTGCATGAAAAGTTTATCTGGACCCATGATTCCTTTTCATAGGAGGTGATACAATCTTTACAAGGAACTAATGATCTAAACAAACAAAAACAAAAACAAAATCTTTATTACATTTTATTCAGATTTTTTAAAATATTTTCCATCACTAACAGAATAGGAATACTAGAAGATTAATTTAACTTTGCTTTATTAGATATCAAATTTAAGCAATAAAATGTAAAAAAAACAAATAAATGAATCTCAGACTGTTTCATAGAGATAACAGAGACTTATCACATTTACTGAGGACATCAAAATGAAACTACGAAATGCATACCACTAATAATGCATTCTGATAGGCATTTTGGTCTAAATGACCTTCATCAGACATACATGAATTATGAATATATAGTTATCTACAATAGAAATATAGCCCTAAATGTATATATAGTTAGCCATACACAGTGACACACACAGGATTTACTCTTGGAAAGCCAAATTAAATGGATAAAAAATTTTTAATGCAAATTCAATAAAATTTCACACCTTATGTGACCACTAATTCATTAGTAGTACAAGAATAAAATACATCACAGAATATTAAAAAAAAATGAATTTTAATTAGGAAAAGATTCTTCAAAAAATTTTCTATTGTTTGTGTTTTTTTTCTTTGGGCATTGGCCCCTCCAAAGAAAAAGAGTGTGCCTCTGGCCATAAACAAATATATAGTTATCTACAGCAAATTTGTTGTAGATACTTATATAGTATATTCTTGTGCAGTCAATGAGGGTTGTTTGGATCAAAACTCATATCAATAATAAAGTTGCATTCTGATGATAGAAGCATCATATTGACGTCCTCGATAACTTGTGTGTTTATTAAGTTACAGCAATGCAACACTTAGGCGATCTGCCTAAGGGAAGGTGCTTTTTGGGAGGCCATTTTAAGGGTAACGGTCCCTATTCAGATATTACAGACATGGAGAAAACCCAGAAAAGGCCAGCCTGTAGGTCTGTGCTTTGCCAGGACATGGCCAGCCTGTCCTGACAAGGCACAAACCTACGACCAAACTCCCAGTGTTCAAGGAATGGAACCACTGGTGGGCTCTTATCCTCAGTAACAGTGCGATAAGTCGCCATGATCTCTGCTGAACAATATTTGAGATGCATTTACCAATAATCATTGAGACAAGAAGTTTCTGTATACTACAAAAAAAAAAAAAAAAAAATATTAAAATGTAAATAATCTTTACCTTAATATAACCATCCTTAGAGCTGCTTGCAAATAACTTCCCATCATGTGAAAAATTAACATGCAACACTTGATCAGTATGCAATGTCAAAATCTCTGTTTCTACGACAGGCGTGCAATAGGTTAAACGTTTATACTCCGATAACCAGCTTTTACTATTGGGTAAAATCTGTTTTACCACATTCCACTTACGATAGAAAAGATATCTCCATAATATATCACATTTTGAAACATTCAACCAATTAGTACATACTCTGCCAGCATTTAATAAATCTTTATCACATAAATACGAGAATATCCTCAATAAGGCTGGACTTGGTAATAAATTCCAAGTACCAACGTATTCCATGTAATTAATTTAATCGTTCCTTCTGAAGAATGACACCAAATATGATCAAAATATAATTTTGTTTACAACCATTTCGTAAGCGATACAGCGCCCTCCAACGATAAAAACATCGATTGCAACATTATTTATTTTTAAAATAAAAACGTTTAAAATCGTTATAATCTTAAATAAATAATACAGTTAAATTTAAATTTATAAATATATTATTAAAACAATCAAAACGAATACAAAATTTATCAACGATATCTTTTTAACATAACGTCAAATTTAAAAATTTTCATTACGATTCTATCAAAAAATCACTCAAACTTTTAAATTAATAATTTAAATTACTTTAAAAATATTAAAATTATAATTAAACTTATAAAAAATTCCAACTTTAATTCTTTTTTATTTCAAAAATGTCCGATCACTAAAGTTTAATCTTAATTTAAACTATGATTTATATTAATATTAATAAATTGCATCTAATTATAATTATTAATTAGTAATTAAAATTAATAATAATCGATCGCAAAGTTAAATTAATTTCAGCGACGTCTATGGCAAGCGGGTTGCAATGATCGAGAAAACTTGTGAAGTGTTGGATTTAGTAAGGAAAAGTAACATGTTAGATTTAGATAAATGGATTGAAATTGCTAAAGAATGCAAGTATCTACCCGAAAACGATCTTAAGGTAATGATACATGTCAATATAAATCGTGTATTATCGTTAACTGAAACAGTTTCGATGTCTATGTTATGAATGACAACGATTTTCATTAATTTCTCGTTGTAATGATCAAACGTTGAATCATGATTTCATGTGCACACACACAAACTCATACATTACGTTATAGTTACAAACTTTTCTTATTTACGCGCGTATTTACTAACGTTTGAGCCTATTTAAAGCATTACTTTGGCTGTTTACTTTCAATTAAATATTTTAAATTGTTTTATAATATATACAGTATATTATCATTATTACATATCTATTTTGTGGTTTTTACAAATGTAAATACAGTATATATTACTAATAAATTGATTGAATAAATTAATAAAAGATGCAAAATAATGAGTGGCAAACTGTAAAAGATAGAGAAGATTCGCCCCCTCTGTACCTTAAGGATCCCTTGTGTCAAGAATGGCAAACCTGTGACGTGTGCGAGTTTGGTGTTGCTTTATCCTACTGACAGTTGCTTGGTGCCTCCACTGATGGGGCCCCAGACAACCATCTGTAGGATAATAGGAATCCTTTATGTACTTTACGGAATGCCAGAAACATATTGAAATTTAAGTTATGCACTTTACTACATAGGCAATCTAGGATCCTAGGTATGGCCCTATCCTCCAGAGGTTATCAGAAACAAATAAGGATGTTGGGGGATTTCCCCAAAAAATTCCCCCAAAGAAAAGTCTCAAATCACTACTATATGCAAAGTCTAATTCAAATATGCCTGGGCCTTCAGGAGTAGATTTACATAGGGACTAATAGGGTTTAAGCCCTGGGCCCACAAAAATTGAATTATCATGATAACTTTTTAATACTTTTTCTGATTAGCATCAATCACCTTTTCATAAATAAATATATTTCGACTTTGATTTTGATGTTATTAAAAATGAATTTGAAACCCCAATTTAAAGATTCTTAATCTAACAAAAAATGGGGTCCTTCATTGGAATTCAATAAGCCCTAGGTCCCGAAAAACCTAGATCCGCCCGTGGGCCCCCATGAAAATATAATGTGCCATTGTCCGATTTCGGTATGTTGTGTCTACAAATTTTGCTATGATGCTTGCAAAGTACATGAGAAAAAATTCAGTGGGCAGGTTAAGAGATTATCTGACAGGCAAAATATATAATTTACTTTACTTTTTACTGTTAAGTTTCAGTGTTTTTATTATAGTTTTATATTCAGTTCAGTATGTTGTCATGCTTTTCTCATCCAGCCTATTTACATTTATTTTGATTAAAGATATTCATTACATTTATTTAAAAATCATTATTTGAAGTGTAAAACCTGGCATACAACGTTTTTAAATATAATTATACCTATATGGCATACAAATTAAAAAAGGTTCTCCATCTCTGCCCTATATTTTTATACCAGCAACTTGTTTTCCCTCCTGAGATATATATCTGTTTGGAAATATTAATTACCAGTAACTGTTGGTGTACTTGGATGTTTTGTTCAGTGGTTAACTGTATTTTGCTGCACCACAGTCAACTCTACACTGTCAAACTTGTTTATGTATAATTAAATTCATCTTACTTCCAATAATTTGACACTATTCTGGTATCATATATGTTGAATTACGAAGATTGTATTTTAATATACTTTAATACTAAAAACTATTTCTGTTTGGATAATTTACATCATGGAAAATTGGCAGGTTAATTATTGTTTAGTTTAAACATATTACTTTCTTATTAAGGAATTTCTTTTAATATAAAATGTAATTGAGAATAATATTGGTATGATCATCATACAGAATGATTTTTATTTAACAAACTCCAGAATTTATGTACAAAAATTATGCAATGATTATTTTGATAGTACAGTAGAACCTTGAAAACTCGGCTCTCGATAACCCGGCACTCCGGATAACTCGGCCACACCCTGGCAGGGCAAAAAAATCCTTAGTTAATTAATTTTCATTATAGACAGCTTTATAAAAGTATAAAAGCTCTCATAAAGTATTTTTCTAGGTCTGTCTTATCAGGGTAAATTACTGTACACAGTGTATTCATTAATTTTCATTTTCATGTAGTAAAGGCTCTATGCCTTCATAAAGGACGTACTTTTCCTTTGTTTAAGGGTATTTGGGCAGTTTATTCTCTGTTATATTCTCAAGTAAACAATACATACAAGTACAGTACAGTATTTTCTGAGGAAACACTCGTACTTATTTTTTTAACCCCATTCCCGATAACCCGGCATTTTCACAAACTCGGCCACCCTTCGGTCCACATTAGGCCGAGTTTTCGAGGTTCTACTGTAATAGCAATATCAGTTATTACAATCAAAGTAAAATTTTGTAATATAAAATGAATGAACATTTTATTTGAAATTTGTAAATTATTAAGTTTGTTACTGTTACTAAAACAAATGAAGCATTAGAATTAATATTTGTTCAGGTGATTATGAAATTATATTTGAGAACAAATTAAAGCTTAGATTTTTGTCTGTTAGAAGCTATTTGTTTCCGGCAATTGTTGCAGGTCATTTTTTATGAATGAAAAATCAAAAGAAAGTAAAAGTTTGCAAAACAGCAGTAGTATTGAATAATGTGAAAATTTCACAGTGAAAAAACTAGAATAGTATCCTAAGAGAGTGTTTAAAGTCTGATGTTTTCTTTATGGGAGCTGTTTATACAACATAAATGTATTAGCAACATCAGACTATTTTCCAATATATAGTCAATACTCAACTAGTCAATACATTATGACATGCTCTAATAAAATTAGACTATTTTCTATATATATTCCTTTCTGCAAGTGAGTGAGAGAGATATTTTTAGAAGAAATTGGCACTAATTTTTTGATTGTTTAACATAAGTAAAAGGAGCATAAGAAAAGCTTTAGAAATAAAATATCATACAGAGAATCATTCCCTGTCCTATGGTTTTTTTGGAGTTTTTTTGATGTAAAGATGATTTTCAATCTTTGTTGTTAGTGAATAGTTTTCAATAAAAATAAAATTGTGCCTCATAATTTTTAGTGAAAATTATTCTTTCATAATTTCATTTTAAATGTATTATTCTAATATATTTATTTAAAAAAAATATGGTATTTGAATTTCAAATGAAATATATTCCGATTTATATGTTATAAATCTATGAGGATAATGTTAAATACATATTTCAATAATCTATATTTTAAGAATAATCATGGGTAAACCAATAAAGCAGAAACTAAATCTTCATTCAAATCAATAAAAGTTTTATTGATTTTTAACCAGATCAATTTTATTTTAATTATTAAGATTTCTGATTTTATTGAGGAAGTAATTAAGAATTACATTAAACAAAATTACTAGTATAAAGAAAGAATAAAATTTGTGAATATTTTTATTTATAATGGAGTTTTTAATGGAAAATTTATTAAAATGTGCTTAAAAGAAAACATACTGAAATCCAAATGTTTTGGATGCAGTTAAACATCATCAAGAAGCATCAAAAATAAGTTTATTAATTTATTAAATAGTAGTTATTTTTAAACATTTAAAATGCTATTTTTTTATTGTTGACCAAATACTTTGTAAAATAATAACAATCTTTATATTGTATATAAACTTCAAAATATTAATATAGTTGAATTAATATATATATTATATATGGAAGCAGTTACAAATTCATATCTGTATTAAATTGCATGTAAAATTTTGAATAATAGTTTTAATCTCAGTAGTAGAAAATTTTTTCCATATAAATGAAATTTAAACCATTGCAGAGTATTATATTTCAAAAACTTTTCTTGGCAAATAATAGGAAAAACTTCAATATATTTGGCCAATAAAAAATTTATTAATTAAATTAGTATTTTTTTTGTAAACTACTATAGTTCAATTATTATGAAGTTAGATAATAAATAGCTAATTAAAGTTTTATCATTTAAAATATTTTAAAATCTGTTTATAATAAAAAATTAATCAGTTTAAAGATAAAATTATACTAGTTTATGAACCTAGATTATATTCTATTTAATTTATAAATTTTTAATATTTTTTTTATTCTGAAAATTATATATTTTCAGAATTGTACTTATATTTTACTATTCTCAGTATTTAAAAATAAAATATACATTTTTATAAATAACTAGCAAATATGCCTGGTATTCAAGCAAAAGTAATAAAGACAAATATTAGAATTAATATCATATTAAAAATTTGGTTACTTTAGGCCAACTCAATGAACAGCATTATTCTGGTATAGCTTCCAAATATAGAAGACACTATAATCTTGGAAGTCATTACTAAGAATATGATTCACAGATTTTGTGGTGTCTTCATTAATTATTACATAATGCTTAATAATACATTAAACTTAAATCATCACAGTGTCGAGGGAATAAAATCAAGTGGTATGTAGATTCATGGTAGCCTATATTCTCTGTAGGATCCTAGAGAGTGACTATGGAAAATTTGTTTCAGATCAGAGTTTAGAAGTGTACAAAATGACAGACAAGCAGGGTATGTTTATTATATATAATTTTAAATTATATAATATGGAATTTGATATATTGTGTTCATATTATGTATAATATTCTTACAAAATGCAAAAAGTGGTGAATGACCATGAAATTGATACTGTATTTAATTTATAAAACTTTTTAAATTTAAATTATTGATTATTAAAGTTACAGAACAACTAGCCTTCACTGAACACACATTTATCAGATCACCAAAATTAAGTAGTAATAGCATTAACTATATAACCTAGTCAGATGGAATTGCTGCATGCTGTTGCATTCTATTCAGAGCTTAGCTCTGGCTGATCTAAATGTGGATTAAAGAAGAAAAGTTGGTCATAGAAATAGCATCTGGCTGTAAAATGAAGTCAAATCAGGAAAAAACCAGTGGACTCATAAAAGTGGATTATTAATATTGGAGGAGATTGATTACAGCTTAAAATGAGAGTGATTTTATATGCATTTGAATATCAGTACTAAAATGTGTGGATCAGTTGATGATAG